ATTTCTAAGCTTTTTCACATAAAGTTGACTTGAGATGCTGACTGTCTTCAAAGTTAGTAGGTGCCTTCTTCCTCGATTCCTAATCCATTGGCTTAAAGATAACAGTGGAAAAAATTTGTAGCTCAGAGCGAGTATTATGGTGGCTCAATGCTGTCTGACCTTAAAGGTAACCGTCAGATCATATCGATAACCATTCTGAAGGACAGTTACCACAAATTTTGTTGTATGATGTGATTATGATTAGAGTTAATAACTTTTGAGAATACAACTCAATAGTCTAATGCTGATAGGTTTATCATGGAGATAGGAAACTGTGGGTCTAGCGTTGCAATAACTGAAGTATTACATATATCTAGACGTAACCAATCTCAATAAAGAGGAAGCCTCAAGTCGGTTACACCATGAAGTCTCAAATGTTTAACCTGAACTGTATAGGTAGTTGGAGACCTGTCATTCGAGGCCTGTAAGTTGACTGAAGTCAATATTATAATTTTTACCATTATTATTTATCCCATGGGTTCCTAGTCGAACATACGGCTTCAATAGCACATCACCATTTCACTCTCTTCTCTGCAGTCTTTTAAACCTGACTCAACGATTGCCCATAAGCTTTCCTTTCTTCCTTACACGATCTCCTCCATGTCACCCTCAACTGGGACGCCCAACTCGTCGTTTCCCATTTGGGTTCCACTCGAGTGCCTGGCCTGACCTTGGACGTGATGTCCCCGAATGGCCTTCTCAGTATATGCCCAATCCACTTCCTTCCATTGCATATTTGTTGGGCTATGAGTTTTTCGTTGGTTCGTTGTCAGGTTAGAGTGAGTTCCTTATTGTTTGTTCTTTCTGGCCATCTGATCTTCAGTAGCGAGCGTAGGCAGCTATTGATTAATGTCCGTAGTTTGTTGGACTTGCTTTCCGTAACACGCTAAATCTCTCAAACATCACATAGAAGCACTGTCATGACGTTGGTGTTGAAAATCCGGATCTTGTTCACGCTTTATGCTAAGTGCAGTAGATCTCCGAACTGATTTCAGATTAATGAAGGTCTGTCTTGTTATCCTTCCAATCGTGGCCTCGACGTCCTCCTGTGTGCCGCCACCTGTATTTGAAACGATGCTCCCCTGTCTATATAGGTGAAAGAGAAAATTTCATTTAAGTTTCTCCCGTTGATGGTGATTCGTGTTTGTTGTTGGTTGGGTATCTTCATCACCTCCGTCATCTCTACGTTCACTTGAAGTCCCATCTTCGCCGCTCTGCCTCTTCTTTCAACTTGTTGATTCTTGCCTGTAGATCCTCTAGTTTGTGCGACATTAAATATAAATCATAGGCGAAATTTGAATCTTCTAGGGTCTTTTCATCTTTCCAGAGTATGCCCATCTTCTCACCCCTCACTGTTTGCTGCATGATCCAGTCCAGTCGACCACAATCAGGAAGATCATCGGTGATAGTAGGCAGCCTTGTCTTACTCCTGTCTTCACTTCAAAGGCATCACTGAGCTTCCCATTGTGAATTACATGGCATATGGCGTCTTCATATAGTTGTTGAATGAATTTGACAAAGGTTTGTGGCACTAAAACCATAGTGTTGAAGCAGGTGCCTGACAAATTACTTGTTGGTCGACGCTATCGAAGGCCTTTACAAAATCGATGCAGTTGAAGTAGAGAGTTGACTATCATTCTACGCTCTGTTCTATAATCATGCTTAGCGTAGAGTTGCAATTTGATCCGCACATGATTTTTTTCCTGAAGCCAGCCTGTTACAGTCGTAATCTTGAATCGAGAACACTTTTTCAGTCTCTCTAGGGTGATACGGCTTAATGTTTTCCTCGGGGTGGACAGCAGCATGATTTGTTGTTAATACATTTTCATCTAAAATAAGATGAATGATTTGCAAATTGTTGGGTCCACGTTGACGCTTCTCAAAGCTGAGTACTTTTTCAGCTGTCAAACTGTAGTGTCAACAGAGTTTTTGTCGGAAACCACCAGTCAGATAACAAGATGTGATCTTTGACAAAAGTATCATGAGTTAATGAAATTTACAGATCAGTTTAAGTGGCTTTTAACTGCTCATTTTGTCATACAGTAGTATGTTTCACACTTTCATCCGTACTATCATATCAACAGTCTAAGACATGCATCCGGGGACTCCAGTGGAGTACAACTGATTAGGAGGTAGTCTCCTACTTGTTAATAGTTTGCAACTGGCAGTTTGGAAAACTAACCAGTCGTTTATTTTTTTTGAAACGAGATGAAGAATCCTGTTTTCATGAATTATCAGTGGTGTTAAGGAAGATCTATACCTATACTGACCTAAATCAAGCTGACAAAATTTTCTACACCTTACAAGTATTCAGTCATTTGATGACAACACATTTCATGCAAAACATTGGGAATTTTATCATGGTATGCAAATTGACTCGATGAACATCCGATACACCATTATATCATCATCATCAAGACCAGCATAGGACCAGGCATTACCGCGTAACGGTCTAAGTTGCCACACCTCATATCATCGCACCAAGTAACAAGACAATAAAATGGAAGATGAAGGAAATAAAAATCAGTTCCAGGAAGTACGAGTAGAAAGTAGTAAAAGAGAGGAAGAAAGATTGAGAAGATGGTGAGATTAAGCACAGCAGTGAAGATGAAGATAATATGTGTATACATCTGGACCACTGACATCGGTTCTGAAACATATCACCTAGAGTCTCCAACCGCTGATTTCTCTTGTCCCGCGGACCCCAACCGGCTAGTCTGCATTGCCTTACATGGCTCAAACCAACAGTCAACGACTTCATGCATTGATGCCATGTTTAACTCTGGCTGTCCTGAGCTCTTTTCCAGCCTGAACCCACTTCGGCCAAGATTATGCGATGAGGCAGACGGGGGCTAGGCATACGTGACACGTGTCCCAACCATCTCAGTCGATGAAGGTTCACAACCGTGTCAACTGATTTACCTCTACTCCCTAAAACTCTACTCCTGACTCTTGCGTTACTCACATGGCGACACCGTGAAACATGGCCTACTCTAAGAAGCCAACGCTGTCCAAACTCCCGATGCCTTCTCATGCCTTCTACCTTTAATGACCATGTTTCACAGCCATAGAGTAGAATAGAGCCAACTACAGCACAGTACACTCGACCGTTATAGAAAATCAGATATCACAGCGTCACCAAGGATGGCGTAAGTTGGCAAACCCAACAGAGCATTTCGCATCCCTACAGAGACTTCCTCGGCCACTGACCAACGCACCAGAACTGATCTGACTTCCGGTGTAAGTGAAATGTTCAGCACGCTCAACCACTTCACTGTCTCCTATCACAGCTAAATGTATTTCTCACAAGTAGACAAAATAAAATGTAGTTAGGAGGGCGGTTTTAGTCATCTGAAATAATTAACAAACTTGAGTAGTAAGTAATTAAAACAAGAAATCATTTTAGGTAGTGGAACAGCTTCATGGAATCATTAAAACACTGAATAGGCATTAGACCTCCCTTTGTTTTCAAGAAGAGGAAACTACAACTTGAAATTATTCTTCGTCGCGAACTGAAATCAACTGAAAACCACTGAAAATTCTGAAGTATAAGACGGCTTTTTCTTCCTAGTTTGCGAATCGTTAATACTCCACACTCATGAACGTCTAGTTTAGCGGTGATCATCCTACCATTAGTCCCTCCCTTTGGAATCCAGTGAACGGCCTTATTAAATTTCAGTCACTTCATAACAGCACTGCTGTCATTGCTGAGAAATTCTAAGCTAGGACAAAACAACTATCCAGTGCCTTGAAATCTTCAATGGTCCTCCAGCTGACGTCATTTTGCGATGAAAATCATCTTGGAATCCTCCAGTCAAGTGCTTCTGCATGGCTCAGATACTTGACGCGTTACGAAAGGCATTTCCAACAAACTACAGACATTCATCAAAAACTGCCTACTCTGGCTTGTTACTGACACTGAAGCTGAGATGGCCAGAAAGAATAAGCAACAAGGAACTCTGGCCTAGCAAGGAACCAACCAAGATCCTATCGCTCAACAAATATGCAGGAAGTGGAGATGGATTGGACATGCACTGAGAAGACCGACTGGGGACATCACGCACCAGGCCAGGCACTCGAGTGGAACCCAAATGGGAAACGACGAGTTGGACGTCCCAGTTGAGGGTGACATGGAGGTTCAGAGGTGTAAAAAGTCAAGCAGCTTCTCAACGCTGTAGATGTCCTAAAAGGTATAAAATCTTGCATTGTGCCTCTTGGGAAACCTGTCCGTAACCATCCAAGTATCGAAGCCTTAGTGTTATTAGTATCATCATTAGTAAACAGTTGTTTGTGTATATGGAGAATAGTATAAAAAAACTTCTTGTAAGTTGAACAGTTTGTTTACCACAAATTAGATTTTCTAAGCAAATTGATGATTGTTTCGATCCCCAGTGATTATAGTTCTCAACTGATAGCCACATTGCTTCCAGTCTGGATATTCGAGCTTACCCATGCCATTTGACAGTATATTCAGACTCTGTGGTTCTTTGTAAATCAACTCTAGGGCTTAAATGATGTCACAGTATCAACCAATGATCTGGAAATCAAGACATGCTGCTTTTTTCTGGTTTGAGGTTTCTAAGTGGTCAATTTTTCTGACGAAAAACTTTCCTATACCCCTTTCGATTAGAAGTCGGTTCTCGTTATATCAGGAGACTACTTGAACTGATTTTATCACTGACACATAGAACAGTTCTGTTCTACCGTACACGAAGAGAATAAATACCCTAGGCTGAGAAGTCTTGTGGTAAAATGAAACAACTTTAGAGTTTTCCCTTGGATTTGGTAATTTGCTTAATCAGGTCGTTTTTCATGACTAAAGCTACATATAAATCGATCATTCCCTCGAAATAACTAATTTTTATACCCAGCATGCTTTGACTTCCGCTTACAATTTAAAACATTTTTCGATCACCACGTAGGCTTTTATTTTAACGTGATCTATTTTGATTGTCTTTTAGAAAAACAAAGAAAGAGATACGTCAGACGTTTATGACGATCCGACTGGATGGTGTATATCGAATAACGACAGCAGCAATAATAACAACAACAATCCTTACTCAGATAAATTAACATCATCTTTCAAACCGACAAGTATTATGAAAAGTAGTGGATTCGAACAAACACGTGCCTCATCCAATCAGAATTCCGGTTCAGTGTATGAAAATTTAGACCATTATACAAAACATTATAGTCCTGTCGGTTTGACTGACAGTGGCAATTTCTCTAATCTATCAAGTGATGTCTCTTTTAGTATACAATCGATGAATGATGGGGCAGTTGGGCAAAGAAATAATTTAGACGATTCTTATGAAGACTATGAAGTAAGTTAAGTGGAGGTTGTACAACTGCTTTCAGACAGTTAATTGTAAGTGGTTAAAGATATCTATTATTATATTATTATTATTTGTCCTAGTCGAACATACGGCTTCAGTAGCATGTCACCATTTCACTCTCTTCTCTGCAGTCTTTTAAACCTGGCTCCATGACAGCCCACAAGCTCTCATTTCTTCCTCACACGATCTCCTCCATGTCACCCTCAACTGGGACGCCCGAGTCGTCGCTCCCCATTTGGGTTCCACTCGAGTGCTTGGCCTGACCTTGGACGTGATGTCCCCGAATGGCCTTCTCGGTGTATGCCCAATCCATCTCCACTTCCTTCCACTGCATATTTGTTGAGTGACAGGTTCTTGGTTGGTTTGTTGCCAGCGAAGGATGTCTGTTAGATTTTAGAAATCACTTAACAGGAAGCCTTGAACTAAAGTTTCGTGTTTCTTGACGCTAATCCTTGAGACACACCAGCAACTGTCAGGAAGCCAGTATCCACTCAGTGGCTTAAGTCTGCGTTTCTCAGATCTGAAGATGTGGAGTTTACTGTTAAGCCAGCTAAACCACGACCGACCCCTTGCGGAACTGAAGTATCTACATAAACTAGTCACCAATGTCAACAGGCAGGTCTACAGAATTCAGTTAGTGTTGAGAAATAAACACTAGGCCGCTAAGTTGATTATCTGTTAATGACTGATTTGTGTAAAACTGCGCTAACAGAGGAATCCAGTTCTAGTTACCGTCATCTGTGCAGGAATAGCCAATAAGGTTGCAATAATTCATCCAGACAGAAAATATTTATATGAAAGACTGATAGAAATGTGGAAGCGAATAAACATTTTCTTCGGCGAATTGCACAATAACTCGTAAACTAAACAGAAATTTTCTCTTGAGTGGTCAGTCACAAACAATAAATAATCACGTAAGAATAGGAAGACAAATGAATATTGGTGGAACAAGGTAAGTAGTAGGGTTACAAAGTAATGCACATGGTTGGACAGATTTCTTTTCAGTAAAAAGGTTAGGTTTGTAAAGGTGGATTGCAATCATATCTGGTATGTGAAGTGGAAGAATGCCTAATTCATGCGGTAAACTAACTGGTATACAATAAACAGTTTTCAATTCTCTGTTACTATCTACTTGATGTCTAGTGTCACCTGAGTGCATATTTATGCTGCTTCTTTTTGTTTTAATCTGTGTGTTATTCAACCATAGTGAATGGTGCTCAGAAATGCTATGATGGACCTACCATATCGTGCTTCCAATGAAACTCTCTCCATAGAGGTAATTACACCGATAAATACACATGGAAAGGGCATAATCAGACAGTCTGTCTTCGTTTCTTGTACTTAAAATTGAGCGGTTGTAGAAGATGGGACATAATATAGTAGTTACAAATGCTATTTGGCGGACTCTTTTTATGCATTGTTTGTTATGATCTCAGTAACAATTTCACCCCTGATTCCATTTTCAAGAAGATTTGCTTCTTAAGAACTGTTTGGATTTTCGACTTAATCTTCGCAACACTGATAAGATTCGCTACAAACTTTGATGGCTAAGCATTCCATTTAAGCGAGCGGCAGACGGGGGCGAACTCTTTCTCTTTAGTATCATCAGATACATTGGCTTTGACACCAGTTTCCACTGGTAGTGGAAGCGCACAACACCAAATAAGTGCATGTATTAACCTTTCGTTGTTAGCTTTCTATACATAATTTGTTTCAAAATATCATCTAACCTTCTTAGCAGAAGAACAAGAAATAGAATACTACTATTTCTTTCCTTTTTCAATGGCCATTTTGATTGCTGGATGAACTTTGTTGTACTTATTAGTAACTTTATTCTTAACAGTCTCACTTTTACTGAATATAAAGGTATCATCCATATGACGACAACATAATTCCAACTGGTTGATCGTCTCACTCAGAGGACTATTCTCTAGTTTTGCTCGAAAAAATTTTCCTATGATTAAATAAAGAGGTGATCCCGTGGAGCACCATCATACTGTCTGTAGAACATACTGTTGAAAAGAAATATGCACTCATCTAGCATTTCATAGATAATCTTTCCAAGTCAGAGACAGGAATATCTATTTCCATGCCACACTAAGTCATTTTATTGTAAATAAAGTCTGCTATTTCCACTCATAGAACCTTGGTAAAAAAAGATGAAATATCGCATAATATTATGAGCTTATTATCTATTTTTAGAACCTGAATCTTTCCAGAAATTTTAAGACATCTTTCAAGCTATATTTTACATCCCAGTCAACATTTTCGCAGGGCGAAACCCGTGGTCATGTTTCAGATTGCCATGAAAACATAGGACAGAACTCGGGGCAAAACCCGGTATTGTGCAGCATTTCCACGAGTTTTGCCCCGAGTTCCCCCCGACTTGCCCCACGTTTCCCCGCGAAATGCCTCGTGTTCTCCGCGTTTTTCCCCACACTTTTTATTTCCCGGATTTTGGCCCTGCGTTTTCCCGAGTTTCTCCGCGAAAATGCTGACTGGGCATCTTCTTTGTGAAGCGGCTTCAAGAACTGTAATAACCACTTACGGTTTTATGATATGTAGAATCTGACCTGTCGAGAACTGGTAGAAGAGACGAACTGTTTTGTTCACTCTTGACAGAACGTTAAATCTAGGCGTAGCAAATCTTGTAATTTTGAGCATTTTAAAGATTCTTTACAAAATAAGATCCTGTTATTTTACTTTTCACAGTGACCAGATCATATTTCTCTCTGTCTTCCTTGTAGTATCATCACAAGCGACTAGTTTCTGAGATTTACTTTCATTACTAAGTAAAGCACTTGTCTTGTTTAAGTAGTCTGTTTTACCTATTGAAAGTATTCCTGAGCCTTTCTTTGGTTTGATTATAACAAGATTCTCATTTGTTTTACGATTTCACAAAGCGCCTCCTCAGCTTTTCCGCTAAAATACTTCTTATACCATCCGTACTATGTGTACCTAAGGATGGAGTAAACAATTGTAGTCTTAAGTCTGTCAACCTCTTTACTGGATAAGGGTACAAAACCTTCTATCTGTATATACATGTCCGCAAACTGCGCTCACCTTTTTATCTAATTAGTCATATTACGGCTATTAGAAAAGTTTGGATCAAGGGGCAAAACCTCTGTCTGTATTCGATCAAGATCAAACTAGAAAAACTGTTCACATTTGACCTGGATTAGTTAGGAATCTCATCTCTGTTGTTCGATTTTCAAGAATTGCAATCAACTTGATGCATTTCTTTTCCTTATATTTGTGAACAACTTTCCCCACATAACTCTAAGATATCTGTTTTAAATGTTCTGCAAGTTCTTTCGCAGCGTAGAATGTCTCTGTAACAATTTTCAACATTTCAGTCAAATAAGATATCAGCTAGTCAATCTGATTCACATCATAACGCTTTAGTGTTCCTCTATCGCGTTGAACTCTTGACATCGACGTTTCCAATATTTTTTTTGGGTAACGATTCCGTACAATACACTTGTGGACAAAATCTTTAGTGGCCTCCACTCCATTGAGCCCTGCAGTATACTTCTTATACTCATTGTGGATCTTCAACGTGATGTGAAGGTGGGAAAATTTCAGTACATTGAAAATTCTCGTTCATACATTTATAAGAAAGACTAGTCGAGCGAAGAAATTTATTCTTTTCAGTTAAGTCTCCATCTTTAGCTCTACACTAACATATAGGTTTACTATTCACATCAGGTTCAACAATAAAATAAGCTTTGATAAAGGAATAAACTATGCATAGGATATTTCTATATAATCTGTCAAGTAAGGCGTGAAGTATGGGGTCAAGCAAGTTTGAAGTGAAGTGAATGCCTACTAAATACATTGGATGATTGTCGCGCTATATCGCTAACTGAAGGGAGTAGAAAAATACGGACCATTAAACTCCGACCCGGTGAATAAGGGCTTTGCGTGTCCACTGCAAAAAAATTACGATCCTGAGTTGATCCCTGGCGTGCAATGCTGCGGTGTCCCCTACTGGGAGGAAAAGGTTTTCTAATGCTCTCAGATTTTTAATAGTTCTCTAACTAATGTCAGTCTTTGATGAGTACTACCTTAAAATCAATTAATCCCTAAAAATCCGCAAATTAAGTCATTCAAAAGGCTTGGAATAAAGGTAATTATTTACTGATGCTTAGCAATAAAACAGAATCCTATTTCCTACGAAATCCAACTCTGAATTGTTTGTAATGTAACCAGATTGGTTACCATTCAAATGTCTTAGGTATAGTTGGTCCATCGTGTACCGAAAACACTTGTCAAGTGGTATCGAATAATTTGTTTAAAAATTCCATTTTATACCTTTGAAGGATCGTTAGTCTCCACCTTATCAAGTGTGCAACCTTGAGTTTTCACAGGTAGGAAATTCAGTTCCAGAACGTTTCGATAACTCACTAATTGAACTAGGCTCATAATTACTTCTTCATTACTCAACTAATCTCCTTCATAAATATATAAATCCTTTTGGCTCAAGAAATAATATCAGTAATGAAGAATCTTTGGAAACTAGAAAGCCTTAAGTTAGTACTTAACCGTTTTATACAATTATATAGCAGATGGTGTTGTTGATTACCTCCAAAATATCTCTTCCAGTTTTTAGGCCTAAAGACCCGTTTTCTAATGTTGCGTAATTGACTGCTAAAGTAAAGATTATTTACTGCATCATGTAATATACTAAATAAATCTTAGATTTTGCATACAACAAGCGTAATGATTTGTCATAAGTCTTGTAAATATTTGAACTATAGACAAAATATACCAATTTTTTGTCTGTAGGTCACGCTTAGTAAGTTGATAGTAATTTCAAAAACTTGAATAAAACAATTTCAAAATTGTATCTCTTTCACTTCATTCTTATTATACGAATGGTGTGCAGTTTGGAGTGAAGAACATTCCTCTGCTTGGTTTCAGTTTCTGTTTAGTTAACATACAATGTAGAAGTCATTTTTACAGATAAAGTCATAGGTGTATGTGTT